GTGTCCTGTTTATTTTGGATTTGTTTTGTTTGACGCTCTTTCTGCTGTTCTTCTTGACTAAAACAAATCTATCCACGAGACTTTCAAACAAGCACACCCTGCATCTTGTTCTGTGGTGAACAAGATAACGCAATTGCCTCAGACTGTGGCGTACACTTTAAATGGTTCTTTAAATCCCATGTGCCAGTATCTTTTATCTGCATATAAAATGAGAAACTGATAGAACAGATCCCAGTTATTTTACAGTAAAGTACAGTGTAGTATGGTACCTTATATATTCTACCATCACATCTGAATCAGCTTCAGCCAATGTGAAACAGTTTATGAGGTGATCCCTCCAATGAAAGGTTAAATTGAAGACTGTGATGTAACTAGCCATATTACCTGACTATGTGCAGTGACAATCTGCTTTAGGTGCACATGATGCAGAGAATAAACAACTTTGTTTCATTCATTAATTTCATTCATCTATTCTCCGAACTGCTTATTCACTTTAGCATTGTGGGAGGCCTGAGGCTATTTCAGCTTTCAAAGGGCAAGAGGTGAAGTACACCCTGGACAGGGTGGCATGGTTAACGCAGAAATATAGACGTTGGCAACTGTGACAGAGTTTTAGACTCACTGATTAATCTGACATGCATGACTCTGGGAGGACGTTGGAGCACCAGAGAGAACCCACACAGGCACAGGAAGAATATGCAAATTCCACACAGATGTGCCTGTGCCAGCCGGTGGATTCAAAGCTAGGACTTTCTTGCTGTCAAGCAACAATTCTTAACTATTTTGCCACTGTGCCACCCCTCAAACAAATTTTGTATAAAACATTTTAAATCTTTTAAGTCTTATGTTGTAACACCTGATCTCAGTGATGTGTCCATAAAAAAACAACACACTGTGCCCACACACACTCCTACGATGCCCGACTATTGTGTTTAAAGTAGAGAAAAGGTAGTAATGTCTCTGATTCCTCCTGAAGAAAAGACCCACAGCCTTTAGATACCGAGGTTTGTTTAGCTTTCACTCGATGTGTGTGAGGATTTTATGAGAACAGTGATTTGGAAGGAAGCATGAATGACTCTTGAGTGAGCGTAGGGGCACATACGTGTGCGCATTTGTGTGTGTGAGCGTGCGCGTATGTGTGTCATCTCCAGCTGAGTAGCAGGATGCAGACAACCAGGAAGAGATAAGCGCGGGTGAATGGAGGGAGCTTAGCATGTGTGTGTGTAGTGTGTGTGTGTGTGCATGTGTGTTCGTGTAGGGAAATCACTTCACAAAGACATGGAAGTGTGTGTTCCCCTGTCTACCAGCGCGGGACTCGGAGGAGATAAGCAGACAGCCAAATATTCCCCTTGTGTTTTCCCAGCAAAAACAGGAGGCGGAATACCAACCACTCAGACCGATGCCATGGGGTCAGGCGTGGAATGAGTCGCGCTTCCACTTCTTACAAGCTGCACATAGCTGCCAAGTCAGTGCATTAATTGCAACACGATTACTCCAGAAAATCTCAGGAGATGTGTGCGTGCGAGTGGGTTTAAATTCAGCTGCACATCAGCAGACACTTGTGTGTGTCTGTCAGAGGCTCTGCAGGCTCACACTGAAACATTTGTGTGTCCGTATCTGTGGCTGGATTAGCATATTGAAAGCTTGTATCTCAGAATGTGCAGGTAGATATTAAATGACATGCTCCCACACAGTACTAAGTGGAACAGTTACAGACATCAGGTGGTGAGGATGCAGGCATAAAACAAAAAACAGAATCATTTACTCGTTTGTATTTACAGTAGTGTTATTTTTTAGCCCAAGACTTGTGCATCTGAACAATCAACTGACACCATAAAATGATGAAAACTTTGCAAACTTTGAGCCAGATGAGAAGATAAGCAAACTGAATCTGCTGATGAGCATCATGCAAAACAGGCCAAAGCTCCAGAGCACCCTCCACACCAGTGGCTCTAAAAAAAATTTCCGCCTTCAGAAGCCGTAATTGACCCCACTACACACACATGCACAGCTTTCAGCAATTATTAACAATAAAAAATGACTCAAATTGAATTTTAGAGAAGTAAAGGTCATCAACATTGCATCACCAGACTTTATTATCTCTGCACAAATCTATCCATCCTCTTCCACTTATCCGATCCTACACAAATCATTCAAGTTAATTACATTTTTTTTTAACCTTGGTCGTCCACACCCCACCCACAGCAGTTTCATACCTCACCAGTGGGGCTGCATTCACAGTTTAAAAAACCTACACTGACTCTGAGATGAGATGGTTTTGTCATTTTCTTATTATAAACCAAATCATCAGAGGAGAAAATAAAAGGAGAATGAAATTTGGGGACTCAGTATTTAATATAAATGAGCTATACACGTTCAAATGATGTAAAAAGGTGCCAGCTGTCAAATGTCCAATAAAACAGAAATGCCTGAAAACAAATGGCACTTGTAAAATTATGGCTTATAAGATGAACGTATGTGTTGATTATTAGGAGTGTGTGTGCCTGTGTGCGTTTATGCAATTTGCTGCAAGAAACCTCAGCAGCTGAGTATAGAAGGCTCTTTATGTTCATCGATATTTTCAGAAAATAAATACATTCGCTGTGTTTTTTCTCTCAGTTATTTTAACCTTAAAGACTCGCTCGGTCTCACAAACATGCGTAGACTTACTGACTCCCTTTAACCTGCCGGGCTCCCATCAAAACACACACAAACGAATGAACGGTAAGTTCTTTGCATAGCTAAAAAGCCACAGAGACATGGGATTGCAGAGTCAACATAAAAATCACCCACATAGAGATCAGTGTGACATGCACATGAGCAAACACACATGCAGACACACACACACACACTGGCCAATGTCCACGGTTGTCAGGTTTGTGTATTTGGTATGGGAAGAATGTGTGTTGGTCAGCGTGTGGACGCTTAGCACTCTGGGGTGGAGTTCTTATCAGTCCAATGTGTCATCGCAGACAACATTAAGTACCACTAAAACACACATGGACACGCATGTACACAAACACACACGGAGAAAGACACACAAAGTCAGGAGGGTGTAACCCCAAACAAGGATCCAGATTTTAAAAGATGCTTATTTATTTTACACCATCCCAACATCCCTCTTATAGAAAGAGGAGAGGAGAGGGTCAGAAAAACCTTAAAAAATATATCAAAAAGATATTAAGTTAGATTATGAAATTCGTTGTTCTAGGCCTAAAAGCAAGGAGATCAACACACATATGTCCTATTGTTGGCGTTTTCTCTCTCATTTTGGAGCAAACTCGAGCACCTTGAGCCTACTGTGAGTATGAATTGCTGCTCTATATATGAAACTGAACTGCATTTTCCCTTTTACCTAAGACACAATTACTAGGTGCCAAATGTTTCTTATTAATGGTTTGTGCACTTCAGGGACAATTAGGGGAGGAGCCAAGTAGTGGCCAAGGGTGGCCAGGGCCACCACACAGTTAATTGTGGTCATCCAACACAACACAGGATGGAGCTCCACAGGGCACTGTGCATATACTCATCAGCCCTGAGGTACATGTATTCTTCTGTTTTACAGGAACACCTTTTTGCAGAACAATTTCTCCATCATTTTTGTTCCCAAATGAACAAAAACATAAAACCTAAGGAAAAAAAGTAATAATTTTATAGCTTATCAATATTTTAAAAATTAATAACTTGAGCAACAGCACAAGCTTGTTTTCATCAAGTGAAGGTAAAAAAAAAAGAAGCATAAGATGTATTGTCTGTATAAGATAATAAGAAGAGTGAGGATTGAAGGATTTAATCTAATTATTCTTTGGCATACAGTCATTTCCACAGTGGCTGGTGGTTGAATCCACTGGCCTGTTGGGCCTTTTCTGTGTGTTTGCATTAGATTATTAGTGATTCTTAATTGATTGTAGGTAGTGTGTCTGTCTGTTTCTCTGTCAGCCATATGACAGGCTGGTGACATGTCCAGGGTGTACCCTTCTTCTAGCGCTAGGACAGCTGGAAGAGGCTTTCACAAAAATTGTAACCCTTAATTGGATAAGCAGAAGAACATGGATGATTCACACCGCTGAAAACGTAATAATACCAGTTTCTATCTGGTGTATCTTATCTGGTGCTGCCACTGGTCATCATTACACTGGTAACAGTCTAAAACATTTCCCATATAGCCAGCCTTAATAAAATGGGGATATGTAAATGGTCACCAACAAATACTGCATTTAAAGGTTATGGTCCAGGCGCTAACAGAGGAGAATAACTAGGAGGAGAGGGACTGGTTAAGAGAGCGACTATATAAAATCCAAAATACCCCCCCCCTTCCCGCCGCCAATAAAAGACCTATTAAAAAAAATACACTTCTTATGTATAAAACTTTAAAACTTTTAAAAACTGGCAACCACTCGCTGACACAACAGACACATTTATTTTCGATTCAGTGAAAGATTTTCTTTCTTTTATTTTTTACACACAAGAAACTCGTTCATAGCGATTAAGCCACATCAGGGTGTTACTCCACAACAACTACACAAATGTTAAATGTTTATCACGTGTGCACGCGCATGTGTGTGAGAGACAGAACGTGAATCCGCGCCTGTGTAAATCCAGCTGTTATTTTTATCCCTGTTATTAGTTGACTTGACATCTGCACACGCGCGCAAACCTACACATCCAAGCGATCCATGCGCGCCACCAATATTTGGACTCTGGGGGATGCTTGAGCTGAATGTGAGCATGTTTGTGTGTTTGCATGCATTGAAAAGTGCATCAGACTTAACGTGACCGTCACCGTGGCATGCACGTGGCATGCATCTGCGAGATCGCCACAGACACCGACACCGGTTATGCGGTTATTGGCAGAAGCGCGCTGTCATCCCTCATACACACACGCACGTGCCGCCTCGGAGCCAGCTGTAGGAGGGCAGGATCACCGTGACCAGAGTAATAAATATAGTTCTTGTGTTACTTTTATAATTTAAAAGCTAAAATAAAGTAAAATGACTCACCAGCTTTGCAGGGGTCCTTGTAGTCAATGGTCTCCGCTCTCTCTTCCTCATAATATTCATAGTCTGGCTCCTCGTAGTCGAAACAGTTACAAATTGTAACTTTGCCCCAGAAAGTCAAGCCGGCAAGCACCAGTGTGATCCAGCGCATCTTACCAGCAAGTGCGGATGGCACACGGTCCATCTGAAGACTGAAATAACCAAATAACGGCCTCTCTGCTCGTCTCGTGCGCTACTGAGAGATGGACAATCCAATCTCCGAAGCACGGCGTTAAGAATTTATCGGGCCATCTTGAAGATTGGCGTCCTTTGTGACAGTCTGCTTGTGGATGGTGTAGGTTGTAGTAAGTTACCCTACTCCGACTGACTCTCCTCCATGGTTAAAGTACGCTGAGGTTTCCGTGCGTCCGTCTCTCAGTCAGCAAAGTGTCCGCTGAGAAGCTCCGCTGTCCTCCGCTGTGGCTTCGCAGGTGAAGCTGCTGCTAGACAAGCAAGAAAGAGGAGAGGTTAGGAGATCAGGGCTGGGTGATCTCTGAGCGTAAAGACGCACGGTGGTGTGTCTGCTGCTGCTGCACGCACGAGAATCATCCACCTTGTGTGTTTCCAACCAACACTCTCGTCCCTCGCCTAGCGCAATCTCTCTCTCTCTCTCTCTCTCTCTCTCGCTCTCTCTTTCTCTGTGTCTCTCTGTCTCTCTTTCTCGTGTCCGGTGGTGGTACTGTCTCTCTCTCAACCCAAGTCAGCGCACCGCCCATTCACACACACACACACACACACACACACACACACACACACACACACACACACACACACACACACACACACACACACACAACCGCACTGTTCGTCCCAAGTGGTGCAGAACCACACGTCTCTGTCTTCTTTTGTCTCCATTCAATGGACCATTCGCAGTCTTCTTCGTTCGTTTTTTTTAATGCGCAAAACTCCTGAGCCTTCTCTCTGATCTCAGCGCGCTGACCGCGGAGGAAGCCGCTCACTAATCATCACAGGCTTAATTGGACCTTTATTCACATTGACCCGCAAAATAAAGTGAACTGGCAGTAAAGAACCGGTAGCGGTAAAAGTAACACGGTGGCCACAAATTTGCCTGTGACTCTAAGTAGGTGTTATCTGGTTATTCTGAGGCAGGTGCCAAGTAGGTGAGAGCCAAACCATAAACGCCCAGAGGCAGGTAAGCTTTACAGTCATGACGTGACAAGTGGTCTTTTATTCTGGCCCCCTTCTGAGTTGCTGTAATAGTGAGAGGGAGAGGGACATCAGTTTTAAACCTTTGAAACTTAAATAGTGAATTTCAATAAATAAATAAATAAATCCCTACTGAACAATGGCCTTTAGAGTGGGAGATAGTCTGCAACCCGAGATAGATAGATAGACCAGTCTGCCATTCACCTATGATGTCTTCTCTAATCTCCCATAAATACCCTTGGCAGCAGTAGGTCGGTCAACAACCGAGTTCGTGATCCTCCGCTGCATCCCTGACATCCACAGGTCCAGCGCAGCAGCCTGAGCGTGTTAGTTCATGAAAAGAACGCTAAGAGCATTTAGGCAAGAGGGGGAGAAAAAAATCCTTTACAGTCAATTTCATTTGACGCAAAGTTGTCAGGAACCACCCATAATCTCCCCCAGTGCTGCCTATACACGTGCACATGCACACACGGAAGACTACAGCAGTAAAAATAAAACCCCAGCAGTTGTTGACAGACAGTGAACACCTTGCCAGTGTAAATCCTCCTGAGACAAGCTCACCCATACGTCTCCACAGCTTACCTGCTGCGTTTACCTGCCCGGGGCGCGTTGGATTGCTGCGGAGCCACATAGCGACCCATCGTGCTGCAACTGTGGGGACTTTCTCCGGAGTCTCAGGGGGTCTCGGGGTGTCACTCGGTACCGGCAGTTTCAAACGTGCCTGACTCCCCCCATTTATTACCGGGAGATTACCGGAGCGCTGTCTCTGCCGCTCCCGACTAATCCTGCCCTCTGGGAGAGGTAGCGGCGCGCTGACGTCACGCCATCAATCCAGCCGCAAGCTGTCCACTATCCACGGTTGGACACAAATCCCTTAGAGCATAGGTGTCAAACTCTGGCCCGTGGGCCAAATTTGGCCCGCAGCCTAATTACATTTGGCCCGCGAAGCCATACCAAATTACTATTAGAGCTGGCCTACTGGCATTATACAGCTAATGTATATATTGTTTAGTATTAAGCTTTGCTTGTTCCACATTCAGTTTTTCAGCTAAACTTGTCCATAAGAAAAGATTCATTCTTATATCTGGAGGAATATATATATATATATATATATATGCAAGAATTGCACTAACAAGGATAATAAAAATAAATAGGTAGATAAAGAAAAACTTTGGGGAGAGCAAGCAAACTGCCATCACCAGCAGGGTGTGCTGAAGCACTACTGCTTAGCTCAGCAAAAAGTTTGGCAGGTAAATGCCACGAGCCACTACTCTAAGCCAAAACGAGCTCTTGCCCTCCCACTCCACATTTTCAACCATTGTACAAAAACAAAAGACAAATGAAATTTTAATGAAATAAAAGTCAGCACAGCAGCACTGGCTGACACTTGCTTGTGTGTTTTCCAACCAAGTCACCTTCACTCAGCTTCATTTCACTTCACAAGTTTCTACTGGTCATCCATGCCTAGGGGTATCTTATAGTTTGTGACTCACTGCACTAATCAGTGTGTTTAAGTGTGCAGTTGTTAACCGCAGGTCAAATACATTCTTTCTACATCCATGTTATGCCGATGCGTGTTGATTTGCATAGACGTTTGGGTGAAGCTGGTGGGCATGTTGTTGTTTTGGGAGTGCATGTCACAAGACTCGTACTTACCACGAGAACAGTGTTGAAGTTATTTTAAAAAGCCTCCACACTTTACTTAGTGTTTGTGTGTGTGTGCGTGTGTGTTTAGTGCTTATTTGTGGTCTGGTTTTCCCTCTCGAACACCTGCAAATTAACACCAGGGAAGGCATTTAGTGGCATTTTTGGCCTTTCAAGCCACTTACAGTCCATCTGTGTGGTTACTACCCACCAAATCTATTCAGCAAAAACGCTTCCTTCTTAAATAGGCTCCAGCTATTGAAATTAATGCTGTGTTCAGGTATTTGTGTCCCTATTTAAAGCACTTATCGATCAGTGAAACTCTGTGAAAGTACCTCGCCAGCATTCTGACCCAGCGCACTGACCACCACTCCTCCCTGAAGCCACACTCTCTCATATCCAAACACACACATACACCCGCACACAAATATCAAGAGGAACCCTCAAACAAAGCAGCAGCCCCTCGAGACTCCTCCAAGTGCTGTGGTCTGCAGGTATTGGAGCACTAATATTAGCTTTGTTTCTAGATGCAGTAGAATTGAACTGCACCAGGTTTGCTGCACACTACTCTGACTTCAAAGATATGCATTATCTGAATCAGGCATTTGAGTGATCCACTCTGGTTATAACAGACTGTTTAAGCTATCTTTGTCACTCATAGAGTCCCCAGTTACCTTGAATTAATTCTGCTGTAATCCATAGAAACATATCAAATCCACAGCAACATTTCCTACACTGCCGTTCATCTATATGAAGACAACAGCCACATTTTCATGATATTCATGTCAAAATATTACATTCAGCTTTGATGTGCAACATATTCATCAACCTGATGAAATGCTGCTAAAAACAGAGATTTTGACCCAAAATGTGACTTGAATGAGATTTAAAGCACGACTTATCAAGCTGAAAGAAATCTGTAATGTAAAAAATGTATGCCATAATATGAGCATACAGCTGTTTTTACTTAAATAGATAAAAACAGCTGCATGCTCTGGAAGGTGGACACAGTGGTGGTGATGGAGCATTTAGTTATGTTTATTATGTTAAGTATGTTATGTATATTTAGCAGGTTTCCATCCATCCATCCATCCATCCATTCGCTTCCGCTTATCCTTTTCAGGGTCGCGGGGGGCGCTGGAGCCTATCCCAGCTGTCATAGGGCGAGAGGCGGGGTACACCCTGGACAGGTCGCCAGTCTGTCGCAGGGCTAACACATAGGGACAGACAACCATTCACACTCACATTCACTCGCACATTCACACCTAGTGGTAATTTGGATTATCCAATTAACCTATCCCCACAAGTTGCAAGCATAAATAATACATGTACACTACAAACGCCCCTAAATCAATGCATACAGCCCTAAATGAGATCTTAAATCTGAAGAAATTGATCATTGCATGAGAATCTTATTTCTGATGACCTGGTGTATCTCTTTGTTTACTGCTACAGCAGTATAAGTAACACAACATGTAGTGGTACACTGTGACGCCATGTTACTGTAAGCATTGTTTTATTTATTTATTTATTTATTTATTTATTTATTTATTTATTTATTGTCATTGTCAGAGAACAATGAAATTGCATTCAAGTAAGTCAAGTAAATATCATGTATATTCAGGTAAGCTTTTGTTGCGATGCAACCTACTGAGAACCTGTACTTAGTACTCATAGCTGGTGGATATATCATACAAACAACGCAACTCTCTTTTCCTCCTTTTGCTACCATTTATTCTATTTGCATTTATTTTTGTTGGTGGTTTTTTCCACTTGATGCAGGATCAGCAGATCATTTCATCATTTCATTCAAATTTCTGACTTTTCTTCATAATTTAGTTTCTGTCCTTTCTTGGTTAAAATATTTTTTTAAATGGCTCATTTGTGACGTAGCACAGTGCTTTGTAACGGAAAGCATGGCTAAACATCGGTCAGTCATTCATCCAAAATAAACTCCTTGACTGGACTTTAAGGCCAAAGACTTCAAGGGTCAAGTTTTTAACCACAATAACAAGTTTTTAACAAGCCTGGGTAGTTGACTTTGTGGTAGGACTTGACTTAAGCGGTCAAAGAAGTGCAGGAGACTGATGCTTTGCAGTGTAGCAACTGATTTATTCACCATTTTGTGACCCAAACAATATTTACAAAGAAACAAATAAGAAACTCAACTCCAAATTAACTCAGTTCAAATAAACATAACTGAACTTAAATCAACGGAAACTAAGGTCAGCCTGCACACAGCTACACTGACCTGAACCTTTCTCTTCGAACACCTGAGTTTTTCTGCTTAAATAGTCCACTTAACCAAACAATTTCTCCTCTGGACTATTCCATTCAGTAGGTAAGATGAACATGATTATATTCAAACCTCTACTGCCACTCTTTACTAGCAACATAAACTCTATGGTTTAATCAATACATATTACATCAATGAATGTATTTCTCCATAAACCCTCTAAAATCAACTTTATTAAATTACAAGAATTCTTCCCCTTCTGCTCTTGGTCTCATCCTGTGACCTCAGATGAACCCAGAAGCTATAAAGCAGGAAGTAAAACTACATTTCCTCCTTTTGTTTCTGGAAGACAGGTAGGTAAGGTAAGTTCTAAACAATACAAATTAACAGTTGAAATAAAGAACATGTTAACTTAACAAACTCGTTGGAATTGATTTAAACCAAGATGTTATATTATATAATCTGTAAAAGTGCAAAACATAAACAAACACGGGATAGTAGATGTTTGCCTGTTGCAGACTACATATGAAATATGGTTTAATCAGAACAAGAATGCTGACTAAGAATATGGACAAATGGTCTTCTCACCCACTTTGTCACAGACTCCATAAAACAGTAGTATTTTTCAACACTGGTAAC